CATATTCCAGCAATCTAGCAACGAATAGTCGTGCTTTTTTCTTTCTCTTTTTTTTTTTTTTTTTTAATGAAACAACACGCGAAAAAATCGCTTCTTAACCGCTCGAATTCGATTATCATACGTCGAAAGTCTCGTACGTACGTACATATGTGCGAGAGTTCCCTCGATGAGCAACGCGTTGACTGCAACGCCAGTTGCAAGTTTATGCGTTCATCCATGGCGGGCCGAAGTGCTTTCGCTTGTTTCGGCGAGATTCATTGTATAATACGCATGTATAATACGCGCGTTGTTGAAGAAAAAAAGAAAGAGAGCGAGAGAGAAATTAAAAAAAGTAAAATCGTCCTGGCGCTTTATGCCGCATTTAGTGCTTTACGCTGTCGCTGGCGCGTTAAGCGCGTCGAAAGTTTTACGGACGCGATTATTCGTTTAATCGAACTAACGACTGAGCGACGGCCAACGCTGGATAAGGTTCGAGTCGATTAATGCCGAAATGAATTCACATACTGCGTTCAATTCCCTCTCCGTTGCGCGATTAGTAAGATTGTTCTGTTCTTTCGTTTCTTTTTTTTTTTTTTTTTCTTTTTCTTCTTAGGAACTTTTAAGTAACGAATGATGCGTTCGCCCATGTTTCTGTTGCAAACAAGGGCTTGAAAAAAAAATGTATTGGCGCCGCTAGTTTTCTTGCAATATTTTCGTGAAAATAAACGATACATTGACAAAATTGTTAATTGTTTCCAGAGTGTACGCAGCAGCAATTTCCCAACGACGAGTTGTACAATAATAATACGAGTGACATGAAAATTCGAGAGTCAAAAGGGAGATATCGACGCACGAGGGTTTCCTTTTGCAGCTCTACGATATATTTAAACGGGATAAAAAATATTTTTAACAGTTCGACGACAAGCGTGACGTCATTCCAGTACTTACGAAACGATATTTTGCAATGTTTCTAGCAACACGCCAGTTAAGCACTGGAATTACAAGCGTGTCGATACTTTTTCGACTCTCGAATTTTTATATTTCTTTATACAACTATTGTTATACAACTCAATGGTGAAAATTTGCTATTGTGTCTCGTACACACCTCGAGACACAGGGTGGGTCAAAAATGAATCCGCAACTTTTTCATTATACATCTTTCTCGACATTTTAAGGAAATAATTTTTCAAACGATTTTAAGGAAACAATTTTTGAAACGTAATGAAACAAAAATCACGCGTTTGAAGTTAAATTTAAATTAAAATTAATAAAATTCTCTAAGTTTCTTCTTATATGATCTTGATATTTTATTAAAAACAATAAGTGGGAAGAAACTGTTGACCCACCGTATTATATTTATGGAAACAGATTTTGCTAACGCGTCGTTTGCTTTCACGCGAAGATATCGCCAGAAAGGTGCCAATGCTACTTGTAATTTTCCTATCCCATTGATAATCAATTCATCAAACATCCGAAAAGAAGAAAAAAAGGAAAGAACACGAGTTAAAAAGAAAATATATTCGTGGTTATATATCGGATTCGATATCGGTGCTTTTTCGTTCGAGGCACTGTCCCATAATCGCGCTCGTTCCACGACGTTGGGTATCACCCAGTACGTAGACAAGGCGTCGCGTGATGTACCTAGAAACACTCTAACGCGACCTTGCTGATCTTAGATACTGTGGCTTAGCCGGCGATAGGACACGTACATGAATTATCGAGGCGCGATCATCGCAACGTCTCGTAGCGATGGGCCAGGTAACGCGAACGAATCGACGCGTCTCGTTTTCGCAATTCACTCCTCTGCTGGCGACGATCGTCTCGAGGCAACGATCGAATATATGCATGTGTGTACGTATCGCGACCACCACCACCATCATCGACCACCATCGCGTCACGCGTCCATCGTTTCGTTGTCTCGATCGATCGTAATATCTCGCGCGGATCTTGCGAGATATCTGAACGATCACACCAGAGTCAGAGGATAGAAACAGATAAAGAGAGAGAGAGAGAGAGAAAGGAAAAAAGAAAACTAGAAATGGTGCTCCGAAAGCTTATGCGTCTTTCTGGCGTTCGTTGTACTCGCGATTCCCACCGTTCTATCGTCTCCGGATGTTGAAAGGATGAAACGAAGAAAGGCAAAGCACGACGTTAATGTTTATGCGCTGTTTCCAAAGTTCCCTCCTCGCGAGCGAGCAAGGAGGATCGACGTAAACGAACGAAAAAAAGAAAGAAAAAGAAAAACAAAAAAAGAGAAAGAACCAAGCGAAAGTGAACGAAAAAAAAAAGAAAAGAAAAGAAATCTAACACCGACACACACGTACACGCGGAAAATCGCTAAAGAAAGGAAGCTCTCTCGCGCACACCACACAAACAAAGACATAGGTACGCCGCTCGTGAGAACACAGACACACACACACACACACACACACACACACGATGTCCATCGTTGGTTGCTCGAATACGCGTTCGAGCTGCGATCTCGGTGAAAAAAAGAAAAAGAGAAAAGAAAAAAGAAGAAAGGAAAAGGAAAAATTTGGCGATGTTGTTGATAGCGAAATCGAGACAGTTCGGTGAACATTTATGTTATTTCTTTTTTTCTTTTTTTCTTTGGCGCAAATCCACGCAAAGAGATGTTTAGAACGCGAAATGGAAACGGGACACGACGGTTGATTTTCGGCCGCGAGATTTCCTTTCGATGGAGCTTGTCGGTCGCAGCTTGCGCGTGTTTTTTGGCGGCGTGTAATGTGGTTTGATAAAATGGTTGCGACAGCGAAGAGAGAAAAAGGAAAGAGAGAGAGAGAGAGAGAGAGAGAGAAAGAGAGAGAGAGAGAGAGAGACAGAAAAAGCAATGTTCGAGGCGATACACGCGTAATCGTTGTGACGCGATTAATAATCATCAAGATCTCTCTTCTCGTTTTTGAGAAAATGAAACCGGAGAGAAAGACTTGTCCGTAAACTAAACTTCACCATGTTGACACGCGTTCTTGATCATTATGGGTACTACCGCCTTGTTTTGTGTAAAATGACGTTTTTCTGTTTCGGTTCTTAGGCGAACGAATGCATATCATAGTTGTAAATTAACGATTTGTGAAATAAAAGCTGCAAACTGTTTGTGTTAACAATAGGTCATTGAACCTTTGATGTCTTTCTTACCGCCTGACCGCTCTCTGTGTGTATCTCACAACAGCTTCTCGTCGCTTGCTAATACGATACTTTTCAACCTTCTCGCTTCCCGAACGTGGTTTGCTCTCCATTTTCTTCTCCTAACGTTTAGTATCTTTCCAAACACCTTGCCGTCTCGTTTACCAACGAATCGTGAAGAACACGAGTCACGAATGCGACAAACTACACGCACGGAGTTTCTGCGATTTGAAAGACGCACATTTATTACACGTACAAGAGTTATTAAACTTTATTCATTTATTTCTCTATGCGTTCTTATCTTTCAATATATTTATTACGTGCATTTCGTTGATATGTTATTATTATTATTCTCGATAAAATTGAAAACTCATAATAATCTCATGTGTCCATTATGTTTAATAATTGTTGATTCTTAATTTTCAGGGCAAAATGAGAAACTGTATTAAAATCATTTTCAAATTTCAATTATGTAAAATTATATCAAATTTGACTCGTTGTTAGCATATATATATATACACTTTTATAATTAATAGTAAAATAACCGCAAAGAGGCAAGAAGTCAACTAGAACTATACTAATTATCCTTAATTTTCTATTATTATTTGGCATTTTTTAACAAACTTTTTGAATTTATTTAACAAACATTACATTACATTGTATATATATATATATATGTTGTACTACCACTTCGATGTCCATGTAAAAGCCGATGAAACGAAGAACTATCTCGCGCGCTAAGTATACAAACACATTGGTAAGTTTACCCTCTTTATCTATTCCCGCGATGCACGTCAGTACCGCATGTATTTCTCTTACGTTTCTAAATCTTTTGCTTGCGTCTAAATGTACATAGATAAACGTAGATGAAACTTTTAAACTAGATAAAAAAAAAAGAAGAAGCACATAGCGTGTTACAAAATACACTTGCGATCGATACTCTTGCTACAATCTTCCGAGATCAATGATCCATTGTTGTCCATTCCCTTAACCCTTTCGCTACGGCAGACTTTAACGCGTAGTAGGAGTTCAATCGCGAGATACACTGTGAAAACGACGAAACTTTTCGTCAGAAAGTATATTGAAATAACCAGAACATTGAATCGCACTACGATAATCGAGCCAACGTTATTTATTTATTCGTTTTCTGTATTAAATTGTCAGTGAATGTACTAAAAACTTGACAGCATAACTTTGAGCATTGTTTCATATAATATATCTAATAATCTAGTACATGGGTCAGCGGGTAATTCTACATTAGATTTCTTACATTCTCCCTTCTTCTGTTATGTTTTCATTCACACCGTCTACACATTTTTGTCTTTGATTTTTCCGAATTGTTACATCGTTCACGTACGCAGACGGAAAATGCCTTTGCATTTTCGTCAGACGAAAATCGTTAGTATTGTTACCTTTCGATTTACGAGCTGTATTTTTGTAAAATTTGTTTCATTAGATATCAACGTAGGCGCAACGTTGATTCGAGCAACGTGGTGAAGCGAGGGGCCTCTCGTTTCGGCGGATCGAGGCAAGTTAAGCGCCAGTGGGCTTACCCGAAAGCAAATTTTTTAAAAGCTGGCCTTTAAGCTCCAATCAGTAGCCAAAGGGTTAATCCGTCAATCATCGATTGCTCGCATTTCCACGTCAGCCACACTATAAATAACGCCCAAAACCATGCTCCGCAACCATGTTCCAAAAATAATGTCCCTGGTGCCCTGGTGTCCTCCATTGATCGAGAGAAGCAGTGATCCGCGTGGCTGGATCAGGCCACGTGCTCCGTATTTCAAACGAACGACGATGATTTCAGGTGTCGCTGGCCCTCGGGTTGGAGGCAGGCGGTTGGGGCGCCCTGGTGGAACGGACGAGCGGCGGAAGCGGTTCGCTGCTAGGTCACGGCGGTTTCGCCGGTTTGGCGGGATTGGCGCGTCGTTGCGGCGTCTGTCTGGCTACGTTCCCTTCCGCCTGGTTGCTGGAACGGCACGCGTTGCTGCAGCACGCCGGCCAAGCCAGCGACGACAAGCCGTTCACCTGCGAGCAATGCGGCCAACGCTATCGTTACCGCTCCGCTTACGTGAAACACCGGGAGCAGAACCATCGTGCCCGCTTGCCGGCCGACAAGCTGTTCACCTGCGACGTCTGCGGCATGCAGTTCAGGTACCTCAAGTCCTTCAAGAAGCACCGGCTGAACCACGCGCTCGAACGGCTGCAACGCGCCCCGGAGCCGCAGAGCAGCGCGATGTCCGTGTCGGCGGCTGCAGAGAGGAGCGACCAGGTGTCCAGCACCGGGGAACCGTCGCAGGTGGAGACCGGTAGCGACACGACCACCAACCCCGGCGAGGAGGAGGAGACGCGCGGCACGTTCGCTCGCGAGAACGCTCGCGAGGAGAGCGTCTCGGAGACGGCCAGCGTGCAGGAGAATCCCGGCGAGGCGGTCGAGGTGCAGATGACCGAGGCGAGCGCCACCACGACCGGAAACAGCGGGTCGGCCGTCGGTGGTACAAGCGAGGTCGGCGAGGCGGACGACAACGCGGTGGACGACGATCGTTCGGAGCACACGGACCCGGTGATCAGCCTGGCGCGCAGCAGCCACGAGGTGGACAGGCGCGAGCGTCGCTTCGCTTGCCCCTTCTGCGGTAAGTGCGTCCGATCGAAGGAGAACCTGAAGCTCCACGTGCGTAAACACACCGGCGAACGTCCGTTCGTCTGCCTGTTCTGCGGCCGAGCGTTCGGCGGCAAGAGCGACCTCACCAGGCACCTTCGCATCCACACCGGCGAGAGGCCCTACCACTGCGAGATGTGCGGCAAATGCTTCGCCAGGGCGGACTACCTGTCCAAGCATCTGACCACCCACATACACCAACGCTAAACTGCGTGGGTCGTACGAACGTTCCTCTCACTCGCTGCTGCGTCCTCCTCCAACGGCTCGAACGCTTAGAACGTTTTTGAAATTCCCCAACGCCGGGAACGTGTCGTCGTTCCACGTCGACAACTTTCAATCGAACCGCCGTAGGAATTTTTTTTTAAAACGTCAACGCGATTCTTTCGCTCGTTCGCGATTCCGTGGCGATTCTTGCTTGACGCGCGCCAATTTCTCTCGCGACGTGGAACAACACATTTCCCCTCCGATCTCAGTCAGAGATACTCGATACGATAGATACGAGACGTAATTACCCGTCTCCACTCGCGTGGAATTCGTTCGAGCAATCGTAAGGGATAGAGAAGCAAGCAGGGGACGAGCAGACCGAGTGAAGGGACGTTAACGTACGCGAGAACGTAGTCTCCGAAAGTTCATCCGCGAAATATCCGCCACCCTCGGAGTCGAACGAGGGCGATTCCGTTCGTGAAACTACGTAGGACGAGGAAGGTCGGCGTATTTTTAAGATTAACGATTAAAGTAAGCTTCGCGCACGGATTCTTCGCGTCCTCGGATCCATCCGATTCGAGGCTGCGTCGGATCTGCGATTCTTTTCGCGAGTTCTTTCCTCTCTTTGGTGTGCGAACGAAGGGAAGGGAAGATTCGGAAGAAAAAGAAAAAAAAAAGAAAGAGAGAAGAAAAAAGGAAACGCGCGGAATACGAGAAAATGGAAGAGGAGAACCAACCGTGTATCCATCCAGGCCCATCGAGGCGAGTCAATTACAGAGAAAGAGTGAAAAAGCGAAGAGCGAAGAGATCGTCGGCGACGATGGTCGAACGTGCGTGATCACGGACAACGTACGAGAGAACGAGGTGAAAATCGAAGAGAGAAGAAAGAAGGAAAATGGAGGGGAAACGCAGGATTTCTACGTTAACGTTAGTGAGACTAACTTTTGTGATAAAAGATTGGAAAAGAAAAAGGAAAACCAAAGAACGCGACGGATGTCGACGAGGTGACGGCTCGTTTTTTTTTTCTTCCTTTTTTTTTTTTTTTTTTTTTTTTTTTTTTTTTATTTGTTCGTCCTCTTCGTCTTCGTGCACCACCAACGAGCGATCTACTCGTTTACGTAATAGGTGTCTGCGTAATCGATGCGATTTTTATACAGTGCACGCGATAACGATCATTCTTCCGTATGCCGCGCGGTCGAGGGCGTATGTACGTCGAGGCGACTTCTGGTTGGACGAGAAGCATCTTGCGAGTGGGAATCTAGTGGAAAAATATCGTAGCCCCTGGCGCACATACATCGATTTGTGGTGCCGATTCCGGTGGCGATTCAACGCGAAAAATCTCGGCTGATTTTTACTGAGGGGAAAATTCAGAAAATAGAGAATCTTTATTTTTTGAAACTTTGCAAAGCTGAAATTGGATTTTTGCAGATTGTTCCGATCTATAACGGCTGCACTCTGAGAGTCTGAAATATTTCACATCGAATCGTTTCGTATTACACGTTACACGTACAATTATAAGTAATTTTGTTTTAATACATTCTCAACTTTTCAATCGATGGGTGCAGCGTTTAAACAGCTTGATTATAACTTGTGCACAAGTGCCGGTATAAATTTTTCATTGTGCTGGCAACTCCATTAAAGAGACGAGACACACTTGCAGCTAGTTAAGGGTATAACTTTAGAGTTTGTCGTATCCTTAGAGTTTCGTTCTTTTTGTTTCATCGAGAAAGTGTTGACACAGCGTTGCGGAAGAATGGTATCTCTGGACGATTGAAATTTATCTGCGCAATGGAACTTTTGCTTGTTTTAAAAACGAAATTTTTAATTAGTCTCCGATCTCGTTTCCTTTATTACGTTCCTTTTTGGAGAACGGAGGTTATTTCCAAGCCATCGAGTCGACCGTATATACGAAAGACACGATTTGCACAATTTCCACACGGTAGTTTCATAGAAACTAGACAAATTGTCTAATTGCCTGAACGTTCAAACGTTTAACGTGTCGCGAAATATTGAGTTTCAAGAATTAATTAATAAAACGAGAGCCGGGAACGCAGTTCGCTTTGCGCGTGTAACTGGAGATTATTCGTTACAAGTGGAGGATTCTCGCGAGGCAACGTCTCGCGAGAAACAATCATGTTTGCTATTCTTCCTCCGAAATTAATTAGCCACTCGAGTCGTACAGGCCAGACTGCGAATGTCACGAGCAGTTTCCTCCTTGACAATTTCACCTGAAACATCAACGTGTGCTCGCGCCTTGGTGTTTCCCATCTTTAAAACGAATTGCAAGACGTTCGAGCAGCTCGCCGATTCAAAACGTTCCACGGAGCACCGATCGAGATTGTCGGGATACATAAATAATATTAATTTAAAAATTTTCTTTGTAATTCGATTTGACGAAATTCTGATTCGAAATGATCAATGCTCTCGTGTCGGACATTCAGTTCTCGAAAAATTCAAGAAATTTCAAAATACAACGATTGAATCGAGAACGTGCCATTCGAATATGACGCTGATTCGATAAAATTTTAACGAGTACCATTTCCCGCACAATTTTTCCGTGATTATTTACAGATTTAACGAATCTGATTAGAAATTATCGTCTCTCGTGTCGGACATTCAGTTCTCGAAAAATTCAAGAAATTTCAAAATACGGTATTTAAATTGACATCATTCGATGTGACTCTGATTCAACAAAATATCCCAACGAGTAATTAATCAATTCGATTTGACAAGTCTGATTAGAAACGATCGTATCTCGACAATGATGAGACGTGTTCGGTTCTCGAGAAATCCAAAGGATTTCGAAGATATGATAATTGAACCGAGAACACGCCATTCGATGCGACACTGACTCAATAAAATTTTAACGTACAGTATAGAACGTATACGTTTGTAGCTACGAACGTTCGCCACCGGTGATCAAAAATCGCGTACAAAAGGTAGAAGAAACAGTAGACTTCTCGTCCCGCAAGAAGGCAGCGACGCGCTTTCGGCTTTGTAGTAAAACGCGAGGGATAGGCGCGAATCACAGCGCCCAGGCGCTTTCCGGAAGCGTAGCCGGTGCCTTGGAAAGCCAGCCGTGTATCCTTTTTAAACCTAGCGACCTAGCAATAAAGCGTGTGTGTGTGTTTCCTTTTTTCTTTTTTTCTTTTTTTTTTTTCCTCCGTTTGTAGCCGTCACGCAGATGTAGAACGAGGACCTAAAGCTAGGTTATACCCACACATGCGTCGTCGCGTAGTCTCCACTATGGTCCTTGGAGGAAACCCATTTCTTAGCCAAAATGTGTCCGTTCAGCTATCGTCTACGTGTATATACGTATATAAGTATGTCCCTGATATACGTGTGCGCATATATATATATACATACACATGCATATACATGTGCATGTACACATCGATGAAACGATAGATCGTCCAGCGTGTGAATCTACTATTACGTACATACATATGTATATATATATGCATATATATATGCGCGAGCGCAGAAACGAGAGTGCCGGCTCATTCTCTCTTGGGAGGCTGGCCTCGCAAGCGAGCCACGTCGTTTCACTCGTTTCCGTAATTTCGAGGGTTCCACAGCGTATGTATACATATATATATGTATACATATATATGTGTGTGTATATATATATATATATATATATATATATATATATATATATATATATATATGTGTGTGTATATATATATATATATATATATATATATATATATATATATATATATATATATATTATACATATAGCGTGTATTGGTCCACAAACAACTCTCCCAAATCCTCGAGGATCGCCGAAAATACACTTACACTTGTTAGTCGTTCGCGTAGCGTTCATCTCCCATCGGACCGCTGGATCGCTGTCGATCGCGAGATCGACCAACAACTTCCGTCCGGTTCCCTGACCTGGAGGGGGGGGGGGGGGGGGGGGGGTTACGACCGAAAACCCGAACCTCTCGTCGCGCTTTAACTATTCACGAAGCTACGTTAGCTGTTCGCCTGGTGAACAGGTCAAAGGAGAGAGGGAGAGAGAGGGATCCGTAGACGATGGACGCGTCCTCCGTTGAGAACGAAGATCGATCACCCGGACGGACGGTAAATTATTCGGCGCGTTATTCCGTCTTCTAAAATAGACATTAAATTAAGGATAAGTAATGAGATCTACAGCGATCGTTGTTGCAAACGTGCCGTCCCAGTGCCAATGTCTCGTTTACTTTTGAGTGAAAGTTTATCGCATAGCTTGCGTCGATCTTTCGCTCCGTCCCGGCGATCGATACCGCGAGCGTTACAGCGAACGACGCGCGACAAATGCGAGAAAACGACGACGATGTGATTCCTCTCAGCTGGCTCTCGCGTCGCCGGTGATTTGATATTTCCACGAACGCGAACGCATCTAAGGGACAAGCTGCGGCTGTCGCTTAGCCCACGGGAGGATCGTGGGATACGACATATAGCTGTGAAGGATGCGTAAACAGAATGTTCTTCTATATTTTATTCTTGTACACAACTTGCCTCGTTTTAGCGAACGCTGTGATTTCGTGATCGTTGCTCAAACCTGAAACCGGGAGCGGGAATGCTGGGAGAGATCGAGATTAGCTCTTTGCGTTCGATTCCGACGATTTTTTTTTCTGTTTCTTCTTTCTTTTTCGTTTTTTTTTTTTTTTTTTTTTTTTTTTTTTGCCTCTTTCGTTTCTTCTCTTTTCAAGTTTGGAGAAAATTATTTCTGAATTACACGATTACACGTGCGTGTGTGTGCGCTACTCTTGCTGCTTAGACTGCTTTCTCTCTCTGTAAATAATTCAGAAAGACGAGTTCGAACATCCTCGAAATTTACCGCTTTACTCACTTGACGATATAACATGAAAATAGGAAATAGGATTCGGAAATAGACGAAGAAAGTATATACGACGAGTGAAGGTGTAACTTTTCTTTGTAACTCAGAAATAATTCGACCATCGATATCGATACTCATCTTTTTCGATCGCATTTGTGTATTGTAAGGATACAACAAGCCGAGGAAATTGTCGTTTCCAATCGAACGTCGCCGCATCGAGCGCAAAGTGCATAAACGACCCCAAATTGACCGCGGTTTCGTACCAAGTTCAAGTCGATCTTTCACCCGCGTGTGGATTCCACGTTGCCTCTCTGTAACTCCCGTGGGCAAACGCGATCACGTCGCGCGATACGTCTTTATAGCCGCAGAGATGTAACAGAAAAAGAGGGAAAAGGAAAAAAGTCCGACCACAATTCGGACGGAGGAACGACATTCATTTGCAAGAAATGAAAGAAAAAGAATGAGCTCGATCCTTGCGAGGCCAGGTTGCCCGATTCCCGTCAAAACTAACGTTTAGTCATTTAGCTAGTAATTTATGACGCACTTGCTGCTGTGTGTGTATCGCGCATTCGTGAAACGAAGTCGAATGACGAAGGTGCTACGTAACGAGAGCCAAAACGATCGCGGCCCGGCGTCCAGCAGAATCGCGAGAAGAAAATGGAGGATTCACGGTGCCAAAGAAAGAAAAAAAAAAATAAATAAATAAATAAATAGCGAAGACTACGATAGCGAATGCTTAGCTCGCGTGCTGGATCTGTAAAACGATCTAGAAGAGACAAAGATCTCGAGCGAGCGAGCTGGCCCGGCGCCGCGACAGCTCGGTTTAGTCGATAAATTTACGTATAATTATATGATACAATTACATGATAAAATCTATATAGTCGAGTCCGATTAAGGGTGTAAGTTTTGCAACGCGAAGCGGAATAATCGTCCCGACGACAGACGATAGAAAGAACGAGAAACGAAGGAGGACGAGGTGCGGATTGACTCGAGCGTGAGTCAGTCGGTAAGGGAGTAACTGCAAACTAGAAAAGGAGGGAAGAGGACGGTGAGAGAAAAAGAAGCGGTGGTAAGTGGGTAGAGAACATGTCCAACGAATGTCAACGAGTTTCAAACAAACCAAAACAAAAAATAGAAAAAGAATTAAGCGAAAAAAAAAAAGAAAAAAAAGGAAAAAGAAGCGAAGAGAAAGGAGAACGCTTGCGCGCTTAGGAAGGAGAGAAAGGAGAGAGATAAAGAAACAGACAAAAAGAGAGAGAGAAAGAGAGAAATGAGCGGGTGAAAGAAAATGGAAAAAACTGCAAAAAAAAAGGGGGGAAAAGAACGAAGGAGAAGGAGGCGCGAATACAAATGCGGCGAGACTTTTAATTTACGCTGGTTTGTCCATCCCGTGCGCTCTCACTCTCTCTTTCTCTCTGTCTCTCAAAGGGGGGAAAAAAAGGAGAAAAGTGAAAAAAGTAAAAAAAAAAAAAAAGAGAAAAGAAAAAAAATAAAAGAACAAAAAAACGCCGGTCGACAGGATTGCGTATCGTGTCCGTCTCTCGTGCGTGATTAACGATCCAAGGATTAAGGAAAATAGTTCCATGACGCCTGATGCCTCTGTTAGCTTTTATACAGGCAACCACGTCCGCCCGTTGCCGCTCCATTTCCACTGCACGCCAGATTTACTGCGTTATGGACGGCCGAGGGAAGCTGCAAATCGTTCTGTCACTGAAAGACCGACTGTGCTTGACGTTTCCTGCTCCGGCGTGCTACCACCGGCCGTGCTTCGAGGATCGTTCTCTGCTCGCGCGCGAGAGAAACTATCCCCCTCGCTACTCGCCATCGCGATCCTTAAGTTACTATCCTCCCTTGTTACTTTTCCTTTTATATATATATATATATATATATATATATGTGCGTGCGTGTGTGTATATATACAGGTATTTTTATAGATTTTGAGAGGATCTATGGGTTTACGAGTTATCGTCGCAACGCAATAGGCACATAATAGGATTCATCAGGATAGATTTGTCTCTGGTTATATCGGCAGAATTTCAAGTTAATTAATTTCTCATTCTAACAGATCTCCCGTCACGAGATGATTTCGCACACGGATTGGATGAGATCTCTGACTCGAGTGTTCTGGAGGATTCGTGATCATTTTAGAGCCAGGCTGCTTCGTTTAGTTCTCTCAAGCAACACCGTTTCTGACGAGGAGGATATTATTTGATCTGTGATACCGGTATTTTGAATAAGAAAGTATTTTTCTTGGATTTTTCCGATAGATTCCGTAGATCTTCGACTCGAAGTTATCGAATGATGGTTGTAAACAAAATGAGAGAGAGAGAGAGAGAGAGAGAGAGAGAGAAACGAGTGATTTTTAGAAATTACTTGTGCAACGAAAACTATATACGTGTGTGTGTGTGTATATTCTTTAAACTGTGATATCGATACCTTTAAAATAATAAAAAGAGATATTTATTTAGCGTACACTGACGTCGATCGGTCTGGAACGACGAACGAATATTTAGATTTAGTTTAGCCAGCGGAGCTTGGAGAAAATCGGTTTCAGTATCTGCCAGCGTTGTTTTTATTCCCGTCGTCTCTTGATTTCCATCCGTCACTTCTAAACGGGTGTTACAGTCATAATTACGAAAGTCGACACACAAAACACAGTGGCAAATATTTAAATGAAATATTAAATGGTTATATTGGCAAATATTTCCAGCAGATAGTTGCGCAAATATTTTGACAGCTAGAAATTGGTAGGGAAATATATATATATATAGTAATAATAAAACGAGAAATAAATGAAAGCTATTGGCGCGTGAAATGTGCTAAGAAAACATCCTCAATGGAACGAACCCGACGACCGCGTTATTTTATTTTCATCGAGTTAATAATATAACGAAACGAACGGCAGCATTTTTATTAGGCAACCGTTATCGGATTTATTCATTTAGATGGTTATCGTGAAACTTAAAGTTCCGCGGATTGTCAATGATTCGAAGACGCGAAAATACAAATACGAAATATCCAAAGTTTAACAGTCAATGACGAGAGAAGAGTAACCTTTGAAGATCCGTTCCCTTAAATTACATTTTCATGAAAATACGAATTCTCACGCAATAAGAATATCCCGCGATCTGTCGATCTACGATTCGAAATTGTTCGATACACGAATTTTCCACTCCGGACTTGGTGTCACAACCGACAGTGCCAAATATTTCAACGAAACGCAACGTTGTATCGAATTCAGTCATCCACGTGTGGAAACGACAAGAAGTTGCATTTATCATCTTACAATTAGTTCAGGTAGATACTATCGGATACATACTTGTTACATTAGACATCGTGTTCAGGAAACTTGACAACGAAGAGACGAGGACGTACGTTTTTATCCGTACTTTGTTAATTCCCGAGGATCTTTATGTCGTTGGTTCCTTGAAAGTTTTCGACGACGATTTAGCGAAAAACCTTAACGAAACAACGTGTGATAATAATCGATAACTTTATGTATATTTCAAGCATCGACTACAATTCTGAAGCACATACGGCTCGCGTTATCAGTTCGATCCTTTCGACTAATTACGATATATATTTGGTAGTTGTCGCTATTATAATTATTACGTTTACACTTTCGATATCGATCGACAACGAACGATGTGTATACACGTATGTATATATATATATATATATTTTTTTTACAAAACACACTCTCTGATAACGACGTATATATTCAGCAGTGATATTTTCTAACGGTTACTACTACATTTGTGATATCGAAATACCAGCTCGAATTTTAGCTAGCTTTTATTATCG